TGAGTGAGGCTCAAAAAGGTTGAGTGACTTGCCCAGGATCACAAAGGTAGTGAATAAGGAGGATTAGTCTTTTAGATCTTCACAACTACAAGGCTAGCTCTTATTCCAACATCCCTCCTATTGCCTCTTAAGGACCAGCACATGATATATAACTGAACACATATCCACAAAAGATTTATGAGATCTACATTCTTGTAGAACTGCAAACAAATTTTCATTTATATATGGTCATTAATGGTTGTCCTTAGGGAACTCTTTTACTTGAAACTAAAAAAAGTAGTGAAAGCCTTGTTAGTAGAAGTAAAAGGAACTATAATTCAAGTCAACCACTGGAGGGTTGGTGGGAGCTGGAGAGGGCTCTAGATCCATGGTTTTATCAATGTATGGAACTTGTGGCATGGAGACTCACTCCACCAATTCAGGTTGGTAATTTAGCTATAACATAATATTAAAGAGTTGCTCAGGACACTTAGAAGTTGAGTGGCCTTTCCCATGGTCACACAGCTACCATGTGTCAAAAGGTAGGAATGGAACCCTATTGAATTGTGACTCCAAGGTTGGCTCTGTTGTTCATGACCCTCTGCATCTTAAAGTGAACTTACTCCAGTTTTATTTGTAATGCTTATTAATGCATCCATTACATGGTAGATACCATACTAGGAAATGCAAGAGATAGGAAAAACATAGTCACCACCTTCGAGGACCATATAGTCTAGTAGGGAAACCAAGACACAAATCCAAATGTCTAAATTAAATACAAAATAAAATATAACAAATGCCTAACTATATATATACATATATATGTATATACATATATATGTATATATATGTATATACATATATATGTATATATATGTATATACATATATGTATATATGTATATATATGTATATACATATATATACATATATATGCATATGTGTGTGTATACATATATATATATATATACATATATATACATAATGGGACATATCATTTCCTCCTAGTGGATAAGGAAAGGCTTATCTACCTTTGATACCAATGGATATACCATTAGAACTTGGCCTTTAAAGACAGTTATGACTGGCAGCTAGTGATGCACTGGATAAAGTAGCAAGTTTGGAGTTGAGAAGACTTGTCTTCCTGAGCTCAAATTTGGCCTCAGGCACTTACTGCGTAACCCTGTTTGCCTCAGTTTCATTATCTGTAAAATGAGCTGGAGAAGGAAATGGCAAATCACTACAGTATCTTTGTCAAGAAAATCCCAAATACGGTCATGAGGAGTCAGACAGGACTGAATAATAACAACAAAAATGATTTACAGCCAAGCAGTAGAGCAGATAGAGTGCTACACTCAGTGTCAGGAAGAACTGAGCTCAAATCTTGCTTCACACACTTACCAACTTTGAGATCCTGGGTAAGTCACTTAAACTGTCTGACTCATTAGTAAAATGGGGATAATAATAGCACCTATACCTCTTAGGGTTGTTGTGAGAATAAAATGACTTAATATTTGTAAAGTGCTTTACAAACTTTAAAGTATTTTATAAATGCTAGCTATCATTAATATTGCTGCTACTTAGATAGGAAGAAATGCCTTTTGGTGGTATGGTGGTTTTTCCACATATGGTGATAATATCTTAATTGTTAATGCCCTATGGTAATTAATCAATAAACTTTTATTAATTGCCTACTTTGTGCCAGGACTGTGTGGAGACCTGGAGTTGGTAAAGCCTTTGTCACTATACCTCCAGTTCCGGATCTTCTCTGTTTGTATTTTCTTGGGTTTGATGCACCCCCTGAGGCAGTCCTTTAGGGCTTTAAAATGCCCAGCTCTTCTCTCTCCCCCCATTCCCCACCTTGGATTTGACTCTTCTATTCATAGGAATCTTCCTGAGATTATCCCTCTACCTGAGTGTTAGAAGTTGAGCTTTTGATGGTGCCCTGACAGATGGAAACTTCCAATCTTTTTATTTTGCATAGATTCATTATGCAGATGAATCCTTAGTCAGACGTTAATCTGCCCAGTTCTATGTAGGGACAGAAGATTTGGGGCTGCGAGGAGCAGCCAATCAGTGGGTTGGACTAAATGACCATGACCTCGAAGTCCCCCTCCAGTTCTAACAATGTACAATTTTACCATGTGAATTCACAAATAACTTGCAGTTTATTCAAGATGTTAATGTTTGAAATAATTTTGTGGTTACTTATTTTTAATAGTAGTGTCCTCTACCAATCCTCAGTTTCTTGAGGGTGACTTTTAATTATACTCTTTCACCTGTCCTATTATGTACAACCTTGGGAAAGTCACTTAGACTCTATGTTCTGCATTAGTACAAAAAATTCAAAATTAAACTTAATTAAAATGAGATTGGACTAGTTAAAATAAAGTCTCTTCTAAACTTTATCTATGAATTTTTGAGACTATTGTTATATGCTGTCTAATTGCAGAAGGGCTTAATTTTAGTCGTTAGAGGGCCAACATGGAAGGACTGAAAGAGCAGTGAACTGGGTATCAGAAGATCTGGCTTCTAGTCTTATCCATCTGTGTGGCCTTGGATGAGTCATTTGACCTTCCAGGGCCTTAGTTTTCTATTCTGTAAAATGAGTTGGACTAAATGACCATGACCTCAAAGTCCCCCTCCAGTTCTAACAATGTACAATTTTACCATTTATGAATTGGATGGGTCTGCCATATAGAAATTAATTTGGAGGGAAAAGCTGAGTACCCAATTTTTAAAGAAATAGCCATTCAGAGGGAATAGATCATCTGTTCCCTGAAGTGATATTCTGATTAGACAGTTCAACATAAGCCTATCAGGGTATAAGCCATCTTCTGTATTTAAATTTTTATTAGTCTTCTAAGAAATGACTGCTGAGCTAGGAATTTAATGTGGAAGAACCTAAGTATAGATGATTTCTCTCAACTAAAAGTCATTGAACCAATATCTAAAGTAAATTCTAACTTTATAAGACTAGAAGGCACATATAATTACTCTTTATTTTGCTCACCCTTTCCATTTTTTTATAATTAATACAGGCATAGAGACAGACTATCATAGACTTTTGTTGTTTCTAACCTAGCTAGGCAAAATAACTGTTTGGGGGTTTTTCTGGGGTGGGGGCTGGAGAGGAAATTTGGGTGGGGAGAAGATTTATGTGTAGAGGTCTTTTCTATAAAGAAATTGTAGTCATGGAACCCAAAAGATCACATTTTCTGATGGCTTTGCATATATGCTTGTACATAAACATTTGCTTTGATCTAATTTATAGATAATCTAAATTGAATTTCTTTTTAGTCTATATAAGAAAAAGATAGATATTTAATGGTGAGTACTGTGAAACTCTGACCCTTTCCTGATTAAGAATGAAAACAGGTGGAATTGTAGAAAGGCAACCTATTTAAGCGCAGTCAGAAAAATATATTTAAACACTCAAGAGAAGTTTTTTAGATGACAAAGGGAAAACCTTACAAGTCTGGGAGTGACCTTTGATTTTCATCTGAAGTACTTTTATTCAGGTCTTTTGAACAACTGATTCATGTCCCAAACGATATCAATTCTCAATTATAATAATCAAACAAAAGCAAAACCCATAACTGCACAAATTAAATACCTACTAGGCCTCCAAAAACACAGACTTGAACGACAGTTTTATCTGCAGAAGACTCTCAAGTATGGACACAAAACATGAAGATAGCTGAACTTGACATCTCTAAAGTGGTGGTCTTTTTGCAAAGGCCTCTTGTCCAAGCAGCATCAAGATCCCTCCATTGGGGTCACTCAGAAAACATTAAAATGCCAATTTAGTGCATTGAAATTCAGTTTATATTATCTACAAAGCAATTTTGAGACAGTGAAACCTTTACAATGCAGACCTCAAGTGGAGTTAGAGAAAAGAGATGAAACAGATGGCCACTGATCATGTGTCAAAAATGAAAGATAGTTTCTTTTTTATTTTGTATGATGTTTTTTCCTTTCTCCTTGGAGGGGCGGGGTGTTGACTGGGCGGGTAGGGCCTTGGACAAGGGAGGAAGAAAGAAAACAAGACAATAGGATAGACTGAAGACTACACGGCCAGCATTCTGAAGAAGGCCGACACCAGGTACATCCTTCATTGGCTTCAAAACAAGCCTATACTTGTCCTTGCCTCACAGATGCATCAAGGGGAACACACTGGGGGTGGGGGAAGGAGGAAGGGGTAGGAGAGGAGGGAGAGGAAGAGAAAAGGGGAGAAAGAGGAGTAAGTTCTCAAGACTAAACAAAAATATCATGACTTTCATGGGCACTGGCCCGAGTGATTGAAGAGTCCTGAAAAATGAAAACATACTTAGAACACAATTATATGCCAGTCTCTTTTTGCAAAATATTTCCAGGTTTTAGATCAACCACCTCCTTACCCTGCCTCTCAGTCTGTGAAATAGCTGTAAAGTGTGTTTCTGTGTGTGTTGCTCCCAAGCGCACAGGAGGTATCCCCCAAGAGTAAATTATGCAGAAACCATGAAGCCACAAGCCAGACTGAACACAAATTTTTACATCTAAAAGGTGGGGGAAGGCAGAAGGGGAAAAAGAAAACACGTTATTTTCGTTAAAAAAACAAACTCACTTGTAATTGAGATAAACCTAGATGAAAATGAACATTCATCAACCCTTCTGTAATAGTAAAATTATTTATTACTGATTTATGCAGACTAGTCTAGGGGATTATACCCCAGAGATGTTCATTTCATAGGGCCACGAAATTAGGCTATCATCAATCTTTTGGTATTTCTGCCGTATGAACAGGCACAAAACACCATGACGGTGAGAAAGACATCACAAATGGATATTTAAAACGTCAGATGTCCTCCTATGGAAGCATATCATCTACCTAATACATGACAGATTTTTAAAATAACATTCAAAACAGATAAATACGTGGACTGGCTATTTCCACGCCCACGACTGCCTTACCTCCTTAAAGCATCTTGTCCATAATTGATCTTCCGCTGTGGCCAATGTGCAGATGTGAAGTCTACCCAGCTAATCTGCAGAGGGTCCTTTTCCATCCATCCTCAGCCCCACACTTGTCAGAGCACTGGGGATGTCCTCTCTGCCCACACCTGGCTGACAATGCCCTGTCCAGCGCACAGCTCCTTCACTTGAATGGTAATCAAAGGCAACAGAGGCTGCTGCTGGATGACAAAGGTTTTCTTTCCAGTCCCCTCCCTTATAGCCCTGCGATCAAAATTAAATCCATCTCCCGCATGAGGCTTCTGAGGAATGAGAGTGCTTTACTGTTGCCTATACTGACAAAGGGAAGGACCCGGGGTGCAGACAGAGCCCCCTCTAGTGGGTTATGGGCCCCAGTGCAGCTTCCAAAGAAACATTGCTGCAATCCCCACCTACTCTCTACTGCTGCAGTCTGGAAGATGATGCAACAGACCAGATTTGATGTCATATGGACTGGTAGAGCTGGAAGAGGCCCGAGAGATGCTCTAATATAAGCCCTTTGTTTGACAAGAAAAGAAACTGAGGCCTAAGGGAAGTGATTTGAAGTTTTGAAACAAGTTAGTGGCAAAACACTAAGAACTTTACAGATTTTATCCAAATTTAGGTGTCACTGTTTAAAAAAAAAAAAGGACTACAAATTACAATCAGTAACCAATATTGTCATTTTATTCTGGGAGGGGGTAGGGTAAGAATCTTAAATTTGAACTTTGTTAGCAGAGGAAATGTGATATGGCGAAATGTAAGGGAATTCTACTTGTGAGCTGTTATATTAAACAAGTCACTTTCCTCCTTGAGCCTCAATTTTCTCATCCACAAAATAGAGACTGATGTGAGGTAACTGCTTTGTAAATCTTAACATACTATACAAAATCTTCATCTTATGGACTTGATCCTGTCTCCTGCCATCTCCCTAGGGAGTAGGCTCCTTAAGAATTAATTATTCTCATTTTTCCTTTATCATACTCTTCTTCTTTTCTCTCTTTCTTTCCTACCTATTCAGTATTTTGTATATGAAAACATATTCACTACATCCTTATAAAAAGTTTCACTGAATCCTTTAATCTTGGCATCCCCTTGTACTATATCTCGCCATCCTAGCAACTTGAATTTGCCATCTTTTTCATTAGAAAGTTGTCTATGTAGTTTCTCCTTCCTAACTTCTCATTCACCATCTCCTTCGAATGTGATTTTTGGCACCAATCATCTGAAACATATCTCTCTAAGGTTGACAATTATCTTTTAATTGATGAATCTAATGAATTCTTATCAGTCCTTATTTTCATAGAATCACAGAATTTTAGAGTTGGAAGGGACCTCAAAAGCTATCTAGTCTAACCTACATCTGAAAAAGAACCCCTGCAGTGCACCTGACAAGTGGTTATCAAAACTCTCCTTGAAGACCTTCACTGAAGGGAAAATCCACTAATCCTCCTGAGGCAGTCCATGATACTTTTGGATAGTACCAGTGGTTAGAGTTTTCCTGATATGAGACCTAAATTTGTCTCTTCAATTTCCTTGATTGCTATTGGTTCTTCCTTTATTCTTATTTCTATAAGAATTTAATTAATTCTAATTAATTATTCTACTAATTTTAGAATAATTAGTAAGAATTCGTATTTCTATAAGATTCTTTATTCTATACTCTTATTATTCCCCCTCCAAACCCCGCCCACATACAAAGAAAGTTTAATCCTTGTTTAACTTTTCTGCAGCTTTTGATACTATTGCCCATTCCCCCCTCTTCCTCCTCAGCTTCCACGACATTATTCTCTCATCGAGCTCTTGCCTACATGATACTCTACTCATTCACCTTTGCTGGTTCCATATCTATCACCTGCCTCTTTTCTTTCTGTACTCTCTCCATAAATGATTTCATCAGATCCTACGAGTTTAATTGTCACTTGTCGAAATGATGATCAAATCTATATATCTAACTCCAATCTCTCTCTTGATTTCCAACTCTCTGCTAGACATTTTCATCAACTCTTCAAACTCAACTTAGCAGAACTCTTTATTTTCTCTCCTGTATCTACCCAAACCTACTTTGCCTCCAAAAGTCCCAATTTCTGTTTCATTTACCACAGTGTTCCAATGGTCTAGATGTTGCCCTATGATCTATTCAGTTGCTATGTCCTATCTATTCTATTTCCACAACATCTCTTGTGTAACTTCCCTTTCTCTCTACTTATGTGGCTGCTACCCTAGTTCATAGGTTCTCATCACCACTCAGCAAGACTATTGAAATAGCAGCCCTCTGTTTCCATCTAGTCCTGTCTCCAATATGCCCCTAAACAGCTGATAAAGTAATATTCCTAAATTGCAAGGATAGCCCTCTCACATCCCTGCTAAAAACCTTGACTGTTTCCCAGTTGCATCTGGAATAAAATATAAATTCATCAGCCAAACATTTTAAGCCTTCAACGACATTCTTTCAATTTACTTTTCCAGCTTTATTCACATTAGTTTCCCTCATCGTGCCAAGATTGTACCTTACAGCCAAATGGACCATTAGCTATTTCTCTAACTTGACATTCCATCAGAGATGATTCATTTACACAGCTATCTATCTCCTTTGCCTGGAATCCATTACACTTCATTATCTCAACCTATTAGAATCTTCCTCTCCTTTCAAGCTTTAGCTTATCTGCCACCTAATTTTTGCCTTTGTGTTTTCAACGCCCAGTCAAGTACCTTGCAAATAATAATAACAATAATTAACATTTATATAGTTTAAGGTTGACAAAGATATATATATATGTACATATATGTATATGCATATATACATGCATATATATTCTTATTTGAACCTCACAACAACCCTATGAGGTAGGTACTATTATTATAACCCTTTGAAAGACGAGGAAGCTGAAGATGAGAAGTTAAGTGCCTTGCCTGGGGTTATGTAGCTAGTAAACATCTGAAGCTTTATTCAAACTCAAATCTTTCTACTCCAAGTTCAGCACTTGATTGTTTCCATTGCTACCCCAGTAGAGGGGTGGAGGTGGGGATAGGGAGGGGAGGACACTCAGTGGAGCTGTGGGAACAGGAAGGCAACTGCTGCCAATCAGCGTCTCTCCCACTTTAAGAATGCCTGCTGGCAGGAGATAAAAGCTGGGAGGCCCAGAATCTGTAGGTGGATGCTTCTAAATTGGCCTTATACTGTGGCTGAAGAGATGAGTTGTTGACAGAAGAATAAGAGAAACAGGAGAGACCTCTTTGTGGAAGAGCAGTGCGACTGGGGATTAGGGGTCTTGCGTTTCTTGAATGGTTTTTCTTGGGTCTGGTGGGAAGGCCTGAGTACTGAGCAGGGTTTTGAGCTGCCTGAAGCTGTAGATACAGAAAATACCAAAGGGCAACTATGGCTCTGAGTCACAAGGTCAGGCATCACTACATCCTTGGCTATACCTGCCACACCCTTCAGTAAAATTATTTAGGGCATGCTTCCTGGAATGAGGACATTAAGGCTTGAAGAGTTTACCTTGTCTTCTAAAAAGATCATAGGATCAAAGATATAGAATTGGAATGAGCTTATTAAAAGCCATCTAGTCCAATCTCATGTTATAGATGAAGAAACAAGTCCAGAGAGGTTATCCCCCTTAAGGTTACACAGGTAGTTACACAGGTAGAGCTTTATGTAAAGGTAGGTCCTTGGCTTCTAAATCCAACATTCTTTCCATTGAACTGCAGTTTCTTATCCCAAACGCAATACAGTTCCACAATTTGTAAGTTAAACAAGACCCCTAATCCTACCCTTACTCCTTTTAATTAAACTGTTTAAGGATCCAGTCTGGGGCAGCTAGGTAGCACAGTGTATAGAGCACTGGGCTTGGAATCAGAAAGACTCATCTTCATGAGTTCAAATCCAAACTCAGACACTTACTTAGTTATGTAATCCTAGGCATGTCACTTAACTCTGTTTGCCTCAGTTCCTCATCCATAAAATAATCCGGAGAAAGAAATGGCAAACCACTCCAGTATCTTTGCTAAGAACACCCCAAATGGGATCATGAAGAGTCAGATACAACTAAACAACAAAATTAAAGATCCTGACATCTAAAAGCAAAAATAATAAAATGAAAAGCTCTTAGAAGCCAGATGAAGTGGAAACTAATTTATAATATGTTTTAGGGAGCAAAATCTGTGATTTCTGCTTAACTTGTAGAGATGATTACAAGTCAAGAACTACACTTCTTTCATAATGCCTACAATATATGGTTGAGGATTGGTTACATAGTAAACCTTGGCTAACCATTTGTTGAATTATGTTTGAGGAAACAAGCCCTGACCCATAATCTATCCATATACTAATAAACCTTCCATTGTAATTATAAACTGTCAAAGCTGGGAACCTAAAGATGATCTTCGTCAACTCCCTCCTTTTATAGACGACAAAACTGTGACAATTTTCCAGGAGTCACACAGCTAGTTCAGTGGTTGGGACTAGAACCCAGATTGTCTTCAGCTTAATGCTCTACACCAATGCTTATGATTAAATGGGAACTCCAGAGAACTTAACTAATTTTCCTCTATTATACAGTTTAAACAAGTTCTCTGATGTTCATGCATTCTTAACAGCGACAGGGACCTTCACATCATCTAGTCCAATCTACAGTCAACTCAATCATCATCTCATCATGACATAAAATATTAGCTTATCATATGTAACCTGAGTCCCAAAGACTATTAGTATGGGACTCTCTCCTCATTGGTGGAGATCAGTGACCCACACCTGAGTGAGGAGCAGAGTGGAATTGGAAAGAGTGGGAGAGACCACAGTCTCTAGTCTCTTTCAAGTTTCTTCAGTCTCTAAGTCTCTTTATTCCCTTCAGACTGTTTTGGGTTTCTTCTGGCTCTAGTTTGGAGAGAAAAGATGGATGATGCCAACCCCACTTCAGGTTGCCAAAGAGGGAAGAAGACTGTGGGATGAAGCCTACATGAGAGGAGCTGGCAGAGCCCATCATGTCACTATCCCCAGATTGCTACACTTGAGATTTAAGGACATTTTCTCCCTAGATGAGATCTAGGACCCTCTCTCTCTCTCTCGATTGATTTACCTCACTCTCAATGGGAAAGCTCCTTCACTCTGTGTTTTCTGGTATATATTCTCCCATGTATAATTTCTCTGATTTCTGTTTTGCTATTGATTTGGATAAGTGAGTTTCTTTACTATGTGTTATGCATGTTCATTGCAGAACTAGCATTTGGTGGGAATGGAGTCAGACCTTGGATATAAAGTTTGGGGCTCCCTTTCTCCGTTAATCTAACTGCTTCCTTAAATATTATTATTCTAGGGCAGGGGTGGGGAACCTGCAGCCTTGAGGTCATATGTGGCCTTCTAAGTCCTAGGGTAAGGCTTTTTGACTGAGTCCAAGTTTTACAGAACAAATCCTGTTAAGGGGATTTGTTCTGGGA